GTTAATTGGTTTAAAGAATTTACCTATAAGTGATTATCATTATCTGTAAATAAGATAATTTTCTTGTTCGTTTGATGTTGGAATTACTTATTTTAAAAATAGTTCTTAGGGCCTGTTTGGCATACTTCTTGTAGTAGATCTTCATGATATTGCTACCTTAGGTCAGTTTCCTCTAGAAACTTTTCTCATTAGACAAAGTTCTTCTGCAAAATTATTCAAATATGTTTAAAAATAACTTCTTAATTTCCAAAGTAGCTTTTAACATTTAAAAATCTTGTCAAACGGGCTCATACTGTATTAACAAAGTTAGTAATATAATTAACTCAAAAGAAGTGAAATCTTGAAGAATAATGCTACCTAGCTCAAGTGGTTCCAGAACACCAATGTGGATGGTTACACTTTTTATATTTTGCATTTAAATGCATATATTATTTATTAATGTTATGCAATTGTCGTCTAGACGTGTGCTAAGGTATTGAATATGATTACTCATTTGATTTTTAAAAATTAATTACAGTACTGAAACTCCATTATAAACCACATAGTTCTGATCGAAATTTAGGAACACAGTTCACATAAAATGGGAATTCTGCAAAGTATCTACAGATTCTTGGGCAGTAATGGAGAAGATGAAGAAAGTTCAGGGGAACTGTACCCTATCCTTGATCATCACCGGAAGCCCAGTAATGGAGGTTATTTTCGTTCATCATTGAGTAATCTTTTCAAGAATCTACTGCGGAGGATCTCCCACATACTTTTATTGGCAAAGCTAAGAAAACCAGAACCTATACTTCCTGTAGTATCAACCAGAAATTATNACTTTTATTGGCAAAGCTAAGAAAACCAGAACCTATACTGCCTGTAGTATCAACCAGAAATTATGTGCTTTTGCAAATCCAAGAGATCTCTTCTCCTAGTTCAGATTTATCTTTGGACGCGAGCCCAGGTGCCACACATGTCCCCCCTTCAGATTTGGAGTGGCAGAGCAATTACTCAGACATAGAAATTGAATCACATGTTAACGTTGATACATATGCTCCTCCAGATTTGGAGTGGCAGAGGAATTACTCAGACATAGAAATTGAATCACATGTTAATGTTGATACATATTCTCCTCCTTCAGATTTGGACTGGCAGAGGAATTACTCAGATATAGAAATTGAATCACACGTTAACGTTGATTCATATTCTCCTCCTTCAGAT